TAGATGAACAATTAGTGAAATCATTAATATAAATCAGGAATAATACTGGGCCAAGCACAAAGCCTTGTGGTACCCCACATGTTATTTGCAGAGGATCTGAGTCAAAATTGTTTAGAGAAATAAATTACTGTCAGTTAAGTATGAGCGGAACCACTCATTTGGTAAACCACGAATTCAGTAGTCAGCAAAGATGGTGGACATCTTTTGCTTACTGCGTGTGATACGTCTTCTGTTCACTGCTTAATGCAGATTTTTACACATTTTTCTTTACTTTTTGGTGTATCTGTGTGTCCATTTATGTAACAAGTAAAATGTCATCAAACGACAAGCCTTCTCTGAAGGACCTTGAGTCGCTGCTCGATAGCAAACTCAAGCCAATTCACTCCAGGCTAGACGACCTATTCAAAAAAGTTGATGACAACTATAAGGCTCTACAAGCAAGACTTGATTCACTTGAGGCCAGGAATGTGAGTTTAGAAGCCGAAAATGCTAAACTGGCCAGCAAACTGCAATTCTGTGAAGCTTCATTGAACAATTTAGAACAGTATTCTCGCCGGGAGTGCGTAGAAATTTCCAGCATACCCGAAGCAGAAGACGAAAAACACAAAGGAAATTGCAATAAAAGGAGGCTCATTAATAAGAGTAGATATCACGGAAAGCGATTTATCCATAAGTAATTGACTACCAAAACAGTCCTACAGAGATGTAGTTAGGGAAGGCTTACAAGCTTCATCGAATTCTTCACGCTTCAGAGCGCCCAATATAGTTGTGAAATTTGTACGAAGAGAGCTGAGAGATCGCTTCTATAAAGCAAGAAAATTCCTACCGGATAAGACAACAGAAGACCTGGATCTTGGATTACATTCCGAGAACAAGATTTGTATCTCAGAAAACCTTACTTAAATCAACAAGGATCTTTTTAAGGACAGTTTGAAAGTTAAAAAGGATCTGAGGTACAAGTACATCTGGACATTCTATGGTCTATCTATCTTCGTAGAGATTCACAAAGCCCTGCTGTTGCCATAAACAAGAAATTGGATTTGGATGTCTTGAAGCAAGATGGTAGAGTTCATCCCTCCTCACCACAACCAACTGGCTAAGTTAAAACTTACTGTACATTACTTATTTATATATTATGTCATACACTTATAGACGGTTTGACTTACCACGGTTTGACTTGTTATCTAAACTTGACAAGATATCCAGTCTCAATAATCATGATGTGGAAAATAGTATAATGCAGCAGCCAGACTTTAAATATTACACTCTAGAAGACTTTCTTAATAATGAGGATATTTCTCAGAGCAAATCTATGCCTCTCTTTTCTACAGTTCATTTCAACATAAGAAGTCTCTGCTAACCATGATGGTTTGACAGTGCTGCTATCAGATCTACAGCATTCATTCGATCTTATTGGCCTTTCTGAAACAAAGATACAAGCATCCACAATCTCTTCATCATGGTCTTAACTTTGTTACAGTCTGCGTCAACCTTTCGGCAGCTTTCATGGGGTACCAAGTAGTGCGTCAACCACTTTGGATTGAGGGCAAAGACATTCAACAAGGTGTGAAAGTTCTCAGTGGTCCCTTTGATCTGAGCCAAATTTGAAGTCATGTGATACCAGAAACTGCACACCCACACAGTGATCCATGCTACAATGCACTCCTTGTAGACCTTCCTGAAACACCAGATTCAGATGTATATGCCCACAATGTATCTCCAGTCCCTGGTACAAGTCAAATTAGTCCATTCTTCCTGGTATTTGGACATAATGCACCATCACCTAAAGTCATTACTCTTGACTTGAAATCAGCCAGAGAACTTAACATAGCTGAAGGAAAGCAAGTTTATGTTAGAAGACCACCTCTAAGTTCACAACCAAAAGGATCAGCCACACGATTCATCCGTAGATTTGATGGTCCTTACACTGTTATGGGACATGTTCACGGTCACCAGGATCTGTTACGACTTTGAGACAAATTCACTGAGGATGAGCTTAAAATGGTAAACAGTGAAAAGATCATTGTCGTGCCAGATGAACTTTCAGAAGAAGGAGCTTCTGATCTCAGTAATTTTATGAAGACCAACCACCCAACACACAGGCTGTTATCCCTCCACAACTAGCCGCCCATAAGTACACAGTGATTGATCCTGATTTGGACAATATCTGAGCAGTCTACCAGGTGCAAAGGAATATCCCTCAGAGGCCTGCAAAGTAGTGTACCAACAGATTCTCAATGCCCAGGAAATTTTGAAACATTGCAGAAAGCTAAAAGGACTGATTTCAAAGTGCCCTTAGCTAGCATGGTGGGACTTATATATTAAAACTTGATAAAGACATGTTTGCAACTGTAGTTTCGGAAAACGAAAATCCCTTTTAGGAATGGGTGAACTCGTGAGGATTTGGGACTGTTATGATTTTCTTGTTAGCTTGTTTCAGATGTATTCATCATGTAAGCTTTTGTTGTGAGTAAACTCCCTTTAAGAAGGGATGGACTGTAGTGGAATCATGGGGCAACAATGTCACGTGATCAAGGAGCACATGGAAGAACGTTGAGTAAACGAAACGAGTCTTGTATCATGTCAGCACTTTCTAGATCACTATTTAGTTACAAATAAAGTTTGTGATACAACATTCTGATCTCTTTTCAGTGCCAATTCCCCGCAATATATCTACACATTGCGAGGGGGGGTTGGAGTGGGTTGGGGGGATTTATTAAGTTTTTGCAGCTGAAGGACAGGGGGAGGCTTTTATTGGAAATGGGGTAATTTTTTGGGACATGAATCTAATTTAATTTTTTTGTTGATTGGTTAGTTGTTTTATGTGGAATAATTGAATTACCCAAAACAAATCTGTTATTAACTCAAAACTTCATGTTAACTAAACCGAGGACACTCATCACCAATAAAGATTACATATTATTTTAGGTTGGTTTTGACTCGAAGAAGGAAGTATATTGTTAAGTGTATGAAATGGAATGAGCTGCCATACATAAAATGCCTTTGACTTGAAGCTGTTTAATTAAGGGGGCCATGTTACAATAACCATGCAAATAGAGTATGGGAATCTGGCAGGATGCTGTCAGGAACATGCTGAGATTAGGAGAGAGGCTGAAGGGAGGGTGAACCCACAATCCTGTAATTACCAATGACAGTGAGAGAAGAGAGAGGGGAGGGCAATTGAAAGAAAAGGGAACAGTAAAAGATAGGTTGAGGGAAAGGGAGGGTTGGAAGGTTGGTGGTTTTTAACATGTGGAAAATATAGAATTTTACACGGAGCAGAATCTAGTGAAGTAGGAGTCCATTGTGTATTGGACACCTGTGTCAAGTCAGTGTCAAAGTGATCTCCTTGTGAACTGCAGCTTGCATACTGAGAAAGGGCTAATACAAATTGAAAGAAAAAACATGTATATGTTCATGATTTCTGAGCAATTTTAACAACACCTTGTTTCTAACATGGAAGTTGAAGTCTGTCAAAAAGGCCATAGATGGGATTGACGTGTAACTTTGTATTGGGATTGTAATACATATCATGTTGTGACTGTCATACTTAAGGAACCACATGGTATTGGGCTAAACTAGTTTCCAGTTTTCTTTGAAGAATTCCTTGAGACCATCTGACTTGTTAAGCCACTGACAGACTAATTAATACAGAAACTTCTTTGATGCTGACATTGTGTAAGCTAATGTCCACACAATGATCCTGACGATAAGTAGGAGTACAAAAACATTTTATTACATAAACAATTTATTACATAATCACTAATTTGTGCAGCATATAGATTGCCTGCAATGTACTTACTAGACATTTTATTATTACTTTACTTCAAGGTTTCCATTATAACATGGAGACAGCTGGCAATAAACCATGGTCTATCAAGTCACTTCTGAATGTATGTTGAGTATTGTATTTAAAAGGTCATCATTAGTTGGTAGAACTATTCCTCAGAATTTGCCATTTATCTATGACCTCCCGAAGGAAAAGTAAGACTTCAAGGTCAGCAGCTCTCTAAATGAGGTAATTAACTCACTCAGGAAACAAGACGTTGGGCGTGGATAATTTCTTGAAATAGTGATTAGATTAGATAATATTAGACCACACTAGATAAATTGGTCTATTGGCACCATAGAAAACCATCCTCGACTAGACTGTTCTCCTCTGTTTACCACTATATATCTTGTATTGCTATGTAACCCAATGCTCATACTTTGTAACATGTGGAACATCATATAACTCAATATGTTGCACCCTTTAGTATCATGAAATACCTCATAACTAGTGCTTTTTTTCCACTGTATACACCAAAATCTCTAAACATTAATCCCCCATTAACTGGACTCCAGTTTAATCAAAGTCAGACTTAAGTCAAAATGCTGTCAACATCTGGTTAAAACATGCAGAAAGAAGCAGAGCCGGGGATACCAGCGAACATTGCACAAACCAACTTTTTCAGCAGTTCTCAAAATGTGTACCCCTCTATCCAAAATGTCCCCTACCTGTGCCCCTAGAACTTTGATAGGACCTCAAGGCATTCTCTTCCATTTTTATTAATTCAGCATTCTACGTCTTTCTTTAGGCATTCAGTCGAAATAAGGAATGGCAGAAGTATTGTCTTGCACATTTGTTCACATATCAAGATTTTGCTGATGGTGTCATTGGACTGGCTTATGTTGGAAACCCCAATAGAAATGCTGTTGGAGGAATTTGTACTCAAAGTAATCTGCCCGCAATCATGTGAATTAATATTGATTTTCAGATGATTTTACAGCTTTAAATTATAACGGTTTGTGCTCTGTGTGACAAAATGCAATTTAACAAATAGATTCCATGATGCCATGCTCCAGGGCGTTTCCAGAAAATAGGTCGCATTTTAAAACAACAAAAGGTCAAAGAAGCTTACAAACCACAACTAACCATCAATAGCCTTTTTCCGTACCCCAAAGAGCGAGACGATTCTGACCGCCAGAAATCAGGCATAGTGTACAAAATCAATTGCACACAGTGTAATTGTTTGTACTATGGCCAAACAGAAAGATCATTAAAGACCCGAATTGTGGAGCACAAAAAGGCAGTGGCAGGTTTTGACCAAAACTCCGAAGTTGCAAGCCATGTCCACCATTTCAGCCACAACATGAACTTTGAAAACGTCAAGGTCGTTGGTTCCGAAGCTAATTACCACGAGCGACTTTTCTTCGAAGCCTGGCACTCTACTTTGGACCTGAACGCTGGGAACGATCATATCGTACTTCCAGAAGCCAACAAAGGCATCGCGCGAGCATGAATTACATGGTCACGCGCACAAGCTTCGCGTCATGTTACTTTAAATAGGCTGATTTAGCAAGAGAACGGGAACGTCACTTGACGACGGCGCGCGCAGTACAAATACCCAAATATGGTCAGATGACGACTGCAGGGCGCGCGGAATAACCTGGGTTCTGTTCTAATTTGACCATATTTGGGTGTTTGTTCTGCACGCGCCGTAGTCAACTGACGTTCCCGTTCTCTTGCTAAATCAGCCTAATAGCGCATGACAACGAACTTCGCTTTCATATCACTGATGAAGGCTTAAGCATTAGCCGAAACATCTGTTGAAAAATGTCAAGAGTCAGTGGCAAACCTTTTTCCATAGAACTTATGCCATGCTTCTGTTCAGTAATAGATCACAGATGATGCCAAAATGTGGTAAGAGCAAACAAAGTGGCACCCAAGGTGGTAGCTGATTGTGTCACTGATGTTCTGAACACATTTTGATGTGTTCTGAATCCTTTGTCTTCTGATAAAGGTATTCTTACAGATTTAAAATTCAGCAGAGTGAGTGGGCAATTGCTGGTTTAATTTTAACTGTTTTTTTTTTCTTTCCATAGGATACTTCACAAATAATACTTGGTTATACCTGAACACTGGGCTAAGTAGCAGTGTTAACTGGGACAGAAAATTGCTGACTGAAGAGGCAGACATTGTTACTGCTCATGGTACTAAATGTAGCATCGACTACTTAAGAATGGTTCATGCTTATAGTGTGCATCTGTCAGGTTACTGATGCGCACAGGAGTTTGGAGAGCATGCGAGAGGCATAAGAATTGCTTGAGTACAGTCTCTCAAAGTTCTTGTGTGCATCCATAACTTGATACACACACACCTAAAAGCATGAACTTCACCTTTTATAACATAACGACAACAAATAGGAATAAACAAGAAACAACTTTCATTTCCGATGATGAAATCAAATTCTCTTTTATCCATAGTACAAATAAACCGATTTTCTCTGCTCTGTTTTTTAATTCACGAGGAAATGTTCAGAGAGATATTTCTAGACAGATATTTAACACTACAATTTGAACCTGGAATTGCTTTTATGAGGATAAGGAAATGTTGTTTATTATTGCTAAATGTTGCAATGTTGCCAAATGAATATTGTTTTCTTTTTCCATTTATGACACCTGAAATAACTGGAACATACAAAGAAATTGGTAAGATGAATTGAAGCTTTCTTATTATAACAGTACAAGAAGTAGTATAAAGGGAACCTATAAGCATAAAACGTTTCTATTTCTGATAAGGTGGAAATTTTTTCCTTCCAGAGTCCTAGGTTTTTAGCAGGAGTTTTCAGTAACATATTGCGCTGTCCCCAAAATTATCAATTCCCCTTCCAGAGGAGGTTTCTAGCTTGCCCCGGCTCCTTCCTTCAATTGGTGTTTTATACCCCCTCCCCCTCAGAATTTCCAATGACCTTTGTTGGGATACCCTGTGAACGTAGATGTATTTCTGGGTGTCTCTTGTCTCCTTGGGATGGGTATGAATATTTCTCTGGAACTGCGCATTTCACAATATTCCTGTTAAGTTTTTAAAATGGTGTGAAAGATAGCCAGGCTGACTGCTGGCTCATCCGCAGCATACACTCAGGTAACATTGGATTATGGACTCATTACATTAGATTATGAGCTCAATTTCCTGTTGCGTGATAGTTGACGAGGTCGCAGATAATTGAGAGCAAATAATCTAATTGTTTTAGTATAAATCTACTAGTCATTCAAAACTTTATCTAAATCCTTTTCAGGGACACCTCGAAAATGCAAAGAAGCGGTGGTCATTTCGTTCACAACTGCGCACTGCTACGCTGCTCACTATCGACAACAGAATAGATAGTGAGTAGCGTAACCAAACAGAGATCGGCATTTGTGATAGAACGTTAGTAGAGATGTGCTAAAAGGTCATAGTTGATGAGGCCAAATGGCAAATCAACTATTACCTTTTAGTATAAATCTGCTAGCGTTCTATCACGAATGCTGTTCTCTGATTGGCTACGCTACTCACTATCTATTTAAACAATAGAGTGTTTCTGTCGAAGAACTATTGGCTGATAGTTGCCCGGCAGAAATTTGATGTTCTTAAAACAAATATTTGCCCGAGAAGTGAAGCTTCGAGGGCAAATATGCTAGTTTTAAGAACATCAAATTTCCAAGGGGCAACTATCAGACCGATAGTTCCCAGACATGACCACTCTATTGTCTTTCTTGTTCACCACTAATTTTTCTTCCACGCGCCAGTTCAAAAATCATATTGAATTGTTTTCAACTTTTCTAGATGAAAGCCATGAAAGCGAAATGTAAAATTTAAAAAGGAAAATGAACAAAACCCACTTAATACAATTTCAATTGTTTATTTTTTTTATAAGCTCGCTTGTTTACAGAAAATTTTTCACGGACGAGTACTATCCATCTGGTTATTTTCCTTGGACGGGCACTATGGGCTGATAGTGTCTCTCCGCAGATGAACACTATCACGTCACGTGATCAATTTAAACCAATAAGAATCAGAGAAAATTTAATGGTGAACTATAATCTGTGATAGATAGTGAGTAGCGTAGCAGTGTGCCCTTGTTAACGAAATGACGGCCGCATCTTGGCGTTTTCGAAGTGTCTGTGAAGAGGATTTAGATGAAGTTTTGAACAACTGGTAGATTTATAATAGTAATAGGACTGAGTGGAGTACAATTCGGTCTGTAATCATACGAGCGATTAACAAAATCGGACGATCACGAAGCGGGAGTCCGATTTGTTATTCACGAATATGATTGCAGACTGAATTGGACGACACGATGTCCTGTTACCAATTAATCAAAACTATGACAAAATTCGAGAAACGAACAAACCATCGATTGAGCGCTGAACGATTAAACGTCATTATGAATGCTGAAAAACACAGCAGTTTACTCAACAAAGTGTACCGCAACAGCACGTACAAAATGACGCGTTCTGTCCAATTACAAGCATGACGTGTACACTGTGCAATTAATGCTTAAATCGAGCTGCTGATAGCCAATCACGTTCGAGAATTTTGTTATAGTTTTGATTAATACTAAAACAATTAGATTATTTGCTGCGCCCTCATCAACTGTGACGTGATATAAATCTCGAGCTCATAATCTAATTGTTTAATAGAAACCAAGAGCGAATAATCTAATTGTTTGCAGAATTGTATTATTATTAATTATATTGTATTGCGGTTTCCAATTAACAAATAGACGTCAGTTTTTTAAGCATCTGTCCTCTTTTTGATGATAAATTGCGTCATAACATTGTCAAAGTGGCTGGGGAACCAGGAGCCGCAGGCGAGTGGTTCCGCAGTGAACTTTGACAATGTTATGATGAAATTTATCATCAATAAGAGGACAGACGCATAAAAAACTGACGTCAATTTGTTGTTTTTTACAATAACAAGACCCAAAAATGGTCAAATGCCAGCAATAAATGAGGGGAAAAGACACCGTAAACTTGCCGTAAACAAAGATAAGTGAAATTTCTTCGAAATGACGCGAACATTGTCAATACCCTTTCTCACTTTTTGATTGGCTACTTAAAAAAGTCCATAAAATCTCATTGGTTAAAAAGTTGACAGTTTGACAGTTTGACAGCTGATAGTGGAACTTGAAAGCTTGCATAAATTAACATTTTATGTGTCTGTACTCGTATTGATAAAAATGAGCCAATCAGCGCGCGAGAAATTAGACAGTTGTAAAATTATTTGTTGTCTTACTTCGTGCTCTAGAAAAAGTTGAATAGTCCAGTTTCGAGTTCGCCATGACCGCTGATTAAAAGCACTGAGAACGCATTTCCACAGGGTTAGCCTCGACCTAAAGTAAAATCTTCAAATTCCAGCGAGAAGATGACCTGTTTACAGCTCTGTGTATTGTTTAGTTTTCAAATTTGTGGCACGTTCCTCCGGTATTTGTGAGTATTTTTTTTAGGTCGAGGCTAACCCTGTGCAAATGCTTCTTAGTGCTTTTATTCAGCGGTCATGGCGAACTCGAAACTGGACTATTGTAATTTGATATTTGCAGTTACAAGTGTACCCCACTCATCAGTTTCCGGCTTTCAACAATTTCAAGTTTTTAAATTTAAGAAACCTTGACTGTCCTTCACCTCATCTCACCTGACCTGACCTGACCTCATCTCTTATCATCTTAAACTTGCTGTTGATCACTGCTTGTCCTTCAGGACACAATTTTGGGAGTGAACATGATCCAGACACAACTGAATGTGCACCAGCGGAGTCTGATGGAGGAAAATTTATCATGTATCCTGCTTCTGTTAGTGGTCAGTGGCCAAACAACAAGGTACATGTGCCTTTGTATAGTGTTCACACATCTGAGCACAGTCAAATCCTTGAAAAGTATTTTTGATGTTAAGGCTGACTTCATGCAGTGATGGTTTAATTCTGGTGACACAGTACTGTGATATAACTGGAGCTATTCCCCAAATAGAATTCCACTAGTTTGTTAGGTTACTCGAAAAATTCGCCAGCACTGGTTGATTTTCTTGGTTGGAGAACAATTCATTTTTAAAAAAAATTGAAAACAAACAGGTTAGAGGTAAAAACGATTTCATCTTTGTATATGGTGAGAGCAATCGAAATATGTGAACAAAAAAGTTGCAATGATTGCTATTTATATTCTTGAAGGGAAGTAGGTTTATTTTCAGGCTTCATTGTGGCAGTTGCCTATGTTGGGTTCAGTATATACATGTTGTGGCATTTTAGAAATTATCGTGCAATTTTGTTGTGCCACGGACAAGTATTTTGTGGTCGTCCTTTACGATTTTTTGTTGTTGAAGTTATCAGTTTATGAATTTATGGAATTAATCTGATATGATACGTTATATACATTCACCTGCCTATCTTCACCATCTGCGGTTATATAACCCACTAATTGACCAGCTCCCAGTCTCCTTGATAGCTCAATAGACTGTTTTCGATATGTTAGTTCAGCTTGACAGTGAGGCTTAGAGGACACAAACAAAGGAAATTGAAGCTGAATATATCGGAAGTGGCCTATTTGTAGAGCTCTGCACAGAAAACAAGTCAAATTTTTTTTCGGATCATCTTTTACTACTGCCTAAGTTGCGTTCAACTGTGATGATCTCTCATGTAGTATACACCTACTTCTAGTTCTTCTTACTCTAATATAACAGAACTGTAACATATATTTCATAGTATTATGAGGTATCTCTGTTCATTTGTGTGTTGAGGTAGCCTGACACACCACAAACAAGTCACAATGGACAGAATCTGTGAACGCCCTATACAGAAAATCTGATATTTAATACATATGCTTATCAGGCAGAATCATATTGACCAGAGGTAGAGTTAACTTTACAGCTATCTTGTTGACTAATGTCGCGAGACAGAATTCGCATGCAGTGTAAGTATAAGAAGACTCAATAATCATTCGCAAAGTCTTCTTTTATACGTGAAATTGTCTAACAGTTATTTTCCTAATCCTTCCACAGCTTTTCTCTCCATGCAGCAGGCGCAGGATTGTTAATGTTCTAAAATCCAAGTCAGATTGTTTCAGAGGTATTTGTGTTAATCATTTTTAACTCCAACAGTAATGGGGTTAAATGTGTTCCTCAAACATTTTAGATACAGCTTCTTAGAATAAAGGATCACCACTTCCAACTTGTACAAATGTTTAAGCTAGGAAAAGTATTATGTTTGTGTCAGCTTAATTTTTCCTAAAGCATCTTTGGGATCAATGGTGAAACTGAATTGAGTTTACAGTATAAACACCGTTATATGTACAGAATACGGCCAAAGACATAAGAAACCAACCAAAATGGTCAGCTCTGACCATAACCGATTACTACGGTTGGTCGCCAACTGCATCATGTTAGTCCGCAGCAAGAGAAGAGGGTGATCTTTTTTGCCTGAAGTAGTTTCAAGGCCTGAATCCATGCGCAAACACATTCATAAACCCAAAATGTGATCGTGTGAAAAGTAACGAGGCGTATCATTGATTTATGTTCTGCGGAACCCACACTGACTAGTTCATCTTTCTTTTCCTCGGTGTAGTTTACAGCAAACATGGGATATCAAACAATCAGCGCGGCGTCTTATTATCTAATCGGCACTCATAGAATAGTGAGATTGGACATGCATCAAGTGCCTTACTGTAGGTTTAAGCCAATAGCAAGCTTGAAATATCAGAAAAATATTCTGACTAGCTTTATGTAATTGGGAAATAGAGTTTGTTGCATAAGGAGTTTGACTGTGTTATTATGTTACAATAGGGGTTTATGAATGTAAGGCAATCATAAGAGGAAACCAGAAAGTGGTTGTAGTGTGTGTCGGTTCGTAAGATAGCAAGGTCACGCATAGAAGGATGTTCAAGTAGGGCTGCGGGAAATTAACTTGAAGATAATTTAGCGTGAGAGTGCTGGAAATAAAACCAAGTATTTCCCTCTGGGCTTTAACACTACAAAGAAAATGGGGATCCCTGACAAGACAAGTAATTCTTTAACCTCGGTTGTATTACCGTCTTAATTACCTGTTCCCTGCTCCCTTGTGGCCCCATCGCTCAGTCAGTAGAGCATTCATGAGCTTCTTCGGAAGTCATGGGTTCGAATCCTGCTGAGGTCAAAGAATTTTCCCTCAAACAAGAACGTTTCTCCACAGGCTGTAAGTGTTCTTGATACATAGCTTTAATTTGAACTTGATTCCAGAACCAAGGAATGAAATTTGTGGCAACTACAAAAAAGAAAAAGAAGAAGAATGTGATCCAGGTGGCATAGTACCTCAGGACAGCTTGTGTTGTACTAAAGAGTGCAAGCTTAAACCTACAGCTCTATGCAGGTACATACTTTATTAAGTACTGTGTTGGTTCCTGAGCTCCGTAAGGGTACTGTTCACTTAAACAATTATTGTTAAAGAAGTGTGTAAATCTCACATTCAGATGACATACAAATAGTGTACCTACCTACCTACAATCATGGACAAAAGTCTTGGGACAAAATTGCACTTTTGGCGCTTTTGCGCACACGCCAGATGCAAATACAACTTCACCTGCCTAACCTCGCCCCCTACCCCCCATAAAATGTCAAAAACTACTACCTGCAATTTCGTCTGATTTTCGACATTGTATTGGGTTGGGAGGGGGAACAGTAACCCGTTTTTTAAAGGAAAGCAGCACTTTTTTTTTCAAATTTCAATAGTAAAACACAGATAATTCGTTAAATCACATAAGTGTCCCAAGGACTTTTGTCCACGATTGTCTGATTTTCACGTCTCGTGGAAAAATGCACTATTGGGATGTTTTTTTGCGCTAAGTGCATTTAGAACCCCAAAATGTAAACATCTGAGATTAGAAAGGTATTTCTAAGAGCTTTTACACGGCTTTTCATATTTTTCAATGGCTTAGGACCCACCGGGAAACGTGTTGATCTAAAACAATATGATAGAAACTTTTGTATGTGATGGCAGTGATGATGGCGTCGCTTCATTTGGATATGTAGCGAACTGTTTACATTGTAATGTACAGTTGTGCAGATACTTCAACTATTTAAACGACAAGTTTGGTATCTAAGGCAATCCTAGAGATCACCTTAACAGTTATTACAGGACGTGTCAGTGACTACAAAGATACTGAGGCGCTATACTCTTCTGGTAGTGACGTCAGCGTTCACTGGCCATTGCACAGTACTCAGCGGCGAAGAAAGACAGTCTTAATTCAGTTTCCTCAAAGTATCAACTAAGAAAACCAGCGGAGATATCTTTCTACACGAGATTTATGGTACTTTTTCGAAATTATTTTACAAAAGTAACATTACAGCACGCTGGCAGTGAATGCTACCCCCCATAAAATGTTAAAAACTACTACCTGCAATTTCTTCTGATTTTCAACATTGTATTGGGTGGGGAAGGGGAACGGTAACGCGTTTTTAAAAGGAAAGCAGCGCTTTTTTTTCAAACTTCAGTGGTAAAACACGGATAGTTCGTTAAATTACAAGGACTTTTGTCCACGATTGTGGCTTCTCATTAGCTACGTAACCCTTTTGACTATCAATACTGAGCAAGGTCTAAGTTTCCTTTCAATATCAATAATCTGGTGAAGAAGGATACTAGCAAGAACAAAAGTAACGACAAACTACAGAGGCAGGGCTTGAAAGTACTTGAATCCTAGCTTGCCCTTCGGACAAGCAGCTCTCAAATTTTGCTTGCCCTGTTCAAGTGTTAGTTTACTTTTTTTACTTTTTAGTTGGCAAATGACTTGCTTGTGCCCTTGCCGATTGGGCAAGTGAGAATAAAAATTAATTGTTCGGCAAGTCTACTTGTCCCGCACAATTGGACAGTACTTTTTTTCAAGGAAGGGGATGTTGTATTGATGCGCGATGAAATCAGCGAGGCGTATGATAACAAAGACAATTATAAATTACAGTCAGTTGAAAGGTTAGGTTATGTGCCATCCTCTACTGCCGCTACTGCTATAAATACAGCTTTAAATTGAGTGTTGTGGAACCAAAACCAAAGTCATCACTGTAGCCAGTCACAAAGGACATAGACAATCCAATGAACCAATCAAAACTAAAAGCAAAAACATGTAACTGAAAATGTAACCATCGCCAAGCGCAGGAAAACGTGGTGTGTGTCATGAATGTTTTTTTTTTTTTTTTGCTTCTGATTGGATTGGAATGAAAAACTAAAACAAATGCGAAGACTTTCAACACTCAAGTGAACACCGCTCTGCTAGATATACTTTTTGCTGGGGTACTGTTCAATTTTGACCTAGAATGTGCAGGTTAGTGCTCCTGGATTTTCCAGACCTGTAGAAACTCTGCTCGAACAATTAAAACAGATTATGAGTAAATTCGGATTTTGGGTCGACTGCATTTGCTTGCTACAGTCGCTATCATGGCTGACTATATTATAGGAAAACATTTACTATACCTCCTTTACTGTCTGACTTGATTCACCAACCCATCATTCAGGTCTTCGTTGCATCACCTGTCAACATCCTCAGCTCAGCATTTTTCTCTCTCTGTAGTGATGGCTATGACATGCCATGCTGCAAGGACTGCCTGTATACCAATACTACAGGCACCAAGTGTCGCGATGCTGACCCAACTAACTGTAAAGACAATACCTACTGTGATGGCAAGATTCCACAGTGTCCGCCCGCACCTAGTATGAGTGACGGCACTAGATGTATTGACAGGTTAGTTGACAGGGAATAATACAACATGACATCACTCAACGGTGGTGGTTAGAGGTAGAGTCAGTTCCACAGATGTGAGGAGTGCTCTCAAATTTCAACAAGAGTTTCCACGGCAAGCCAAACTTTTCACTCATGTAACTATCCTTATTTGATCTGTTAATTAACTTTTCACAGTCAGCTGGTTAACGACAGCCAGAAAGCAATTCAAGTTTGAAAAGGATAGTTATGCCCGTTTAGGCATAAGTGACAGTTTCTTTGAATTACTAGCAACTTAATAATAGATGTCCAGCAGTAGGAATTAAATGTAGACATGATGATAGATGCGAATGCAGCCATATCACTACTGGAAAAAAAAGACCTGAAAACATTTTGAGTCTTTGAACGGGATTCGAACCCATGACCTTTGCTTTACCGGTGTAATGCTCTCCCAACTGAGCTATCAGTTGGTCTTTTTAACTCATTCATGCGCGCATGTGCAATGAATGAGTTTTGGCGATGGGGGACTTTATCCGGGAATCTGCGTGGACTTTAAATCAGCGTTAATTAGTATTTAGCATGGACTGTTTATTAGTAGTTTATTAGTATTAATTTATATATATAACTTTAGATATTAGTATTACCTGATGATTTTTAACCGTGTATAAAGAAATGTTAAATAAATAAGTAGACGGAAATTAAATGCTGATTAATTTATGCTGATGTTAACCGGAAAAAGCGAAGCGCGCTGACTAGGGCTCGAACCTTAGCCTGACTTCGGTCGCTGGATTTCAAGGCGAACTCATTAACCACTCGGCCATCTCAACATTCCCGCGTTGACTTATGGTAAGAAACGCTCTATAGAGCCGGGGTGTCACCGCTGGTCATCTGAAAATGCCATCTCGTCACTTGTTTTTACGGGTCCATCGATGCCAGATGGGATGTGTACTGTATAAGTTGTTGGTAAACAGAGTGAATTTGGTTGGAAATATTGAAAAATTTTAGAATTCGTGGAGCGCAAATTATTTTCGAGATATTCCTCTATTACGGTCATTACGGGCTCAATGAGTGTAAGCTCTTCAGCTCTAGGCAGCCATTGTGGATTTGGACTTCCTGCTTTTGCGAATTCTGGTGAGTAAATAGTGCTTTCTTCAATTGTTTTGAATTTCCTTTAAGCAAGACATACAGCCCACACGTCAAATCGAAGCGACCCAGAACTAAACTAAATCCTGTTTGAAACTTAGAGCGCAGAATTCGGCCAGGCTTACGAACGCTGCGTGACAATTGCTATAAAGCTGCATTACAAAGCAATGAAATTGCGTTAAGTACCACTGAAATGCCAAATGAATACCATTGCTTTCAGAATTCAGCCAGGTTTACAATCGCTGCGTGACAATAAATTGCTATAAAGCTCCATTACAAAGCTATGAAATTGCATTAAGTTCCACAGAAATGTATAAAACAGTTACACAAACTTTCTCAAGGTTTACTGACAAATGTTGCACTAATCACTTGCATTTTCTTTGAATAAAGTACCATACATAAACTGTAACAAGCAAACAGTAAAAATAAGGTTTTCACTTCTTATAGACAACACAGCATTTTCTAAACAATGAGCGCAAATGCTTGATAACAGAACACACACAACAATGAGATATTGTCCTATTCTATTGTACAGCAAATTGTTCATTTACCCAATCATCCAGTCAATTGTAAGCCTGCTGATAGCTAAGATACATGTCAGGAAGGAGCTTGACGCTTATTGATTTACCACTAACATTAATAAACATAACACAATAAACACATAAATCATTTCATGGCTAAGACCATGAATGAGTTGACTCATAGATCCCTTTGATTGTCCAGTAGTGTTATGGCTGCATTCGCATCTATTATCATGTGTACATTTAATTGCTACTTTTGGATATCTATTATTATGGAATTCACATACTTGAGCCGAGTATTACGTCCACTGAACATAAAGGGCCAACCCACACACGACCGCTCTCATGTGGCTTTGATAGGTCGGTTGTGAGAGCATTGCACCTGTAACGCAAAGGTCGTGGGTTCAAATCCCGTTCAAAGCCTGAATATTTTTTTCAGTTCTTATTTCCAGTAGTGTTATGCCTGCCTTCGCGTCTATCATCATGTGTACTAGCAACTTAGCATGAACTAAAGTTATAAAATAACCCAACTACGTAAACTATACTTTACTTGTGAAACGTTCTGTCCTATGATAACAGCATCACTGTGATCTCTGAAAGAGGTCTGCAAACAGAGTCTCGGTTGTCAATACTTGTGAATCTGATTTGCTGATATAATTTATACAATATTTGTAGAGGAACGTGCACAAGTGGAGTGTGTAAACCATTCTGTACTGCCAAGGACCTAAAGCCATGCAAATGCTCCAAGGTTGAAGACGCGTGTAAAATTTGCTGCAAAGGCCTCGGGCAGAACAGCATTTGTACTCCATACGTCAGTAATGACACTGGCACCACAATAAATATCCTTGATGGTCGATCTTGCCAGGGCGAAGGACAGCAAGGAATTTGTGTGCAGGTAACGTCTCTTCCGCCCCTCCCGACTGTTTCTACCTTTTGTAGATGACGAAGATGACCATTTAATCTACCTAGACTTGAATTTGTGACAAAAAGGTAATGATAGCGAATACTAGAACAGTCGCAAATGCTAAGCTTCTAAGTTGCAAAGCTGAAGTTTAACAGAGTACTATACTGATTTATGAAAAAAGGTTTCTTCTAGCCAAAAGTGGGATCATTTCTTAACTCTGTGGAGTCAGAAGGAGTAGTGTATCAAGTGCCATGGATTTTGTAAGAAGAACAGAGAAACAGAAATTTTTGTTCTGCTTGTCCTTGTCCTTATTCTTGTGTTGTGGGCTTCCTCACTATGGTGCGCTTGTGCTTGTGCTTATGTTGTTAGCGTCCTCACTGCCGTTAGGTTTGTGCTTGTGCTTGTGCTTATGTCGTAGAGAAAACCAGGCTTAAACTGTTGCACAATGTTTGAAATTACACTATTTTTCCACAAGGGCAAATGCGAGAAAATAACTCAAGACTTGGTGGAGAGATTCTGGTCTTTCCTAACGACACTGGACAGCAATAAAGTTGCTCAGTTTATGAAGGACAACCTGGCTGGCACTGTTGTGGTGTTCTCATTACTTATTTGGATTCCTGCAAGCTGTTATGTAAATCGCATTGTAAGTGGACTGCATACATGTATCTGCAGACATAATTTTTGTTGTTGTCCCAAGAAAAAATGGTAACACTGACGTATGTATTCCCCTCCAATTTGGAAAGAACGATAAAACAGTTAAGTTTTTTAAATATCACTAAATGCTGCTTTTAAAGTACTTTCAGTGTCACTTGTGCTAGTCAGTTGTAGTATAATTAGCAATTTCATTTGGTGGTTTACTTTTGGCCTCATTGTCACGGTAGTCAAATCGTTTGACATTAATCATGACTATAATGAGGCGGTATATCTAGTGGTATTGGAGTTAAGTTAGGCTCTAATTTAATTGTTACTGATTGAAAATTGGGCCCTTCTTGTGTTTAGGTGGCCCACGACTAGAAGGGCCAAGCGATAAAATAAATCGAAGTCCTTACTTTGAGTTCTTTTTTGGCCATATGATATACATATGATATACATCGTGATGTCATAATCCCATACTCTGAAACATTCAATCTTCTAGCTGCTATCCTCCTCTTACAAGATATAAATTGTTTTCGTCTTCTTAGCACTTATTTAATTTTTTTATTTTACAGGACAAGAAACGCGACAAGACAGAATCTCTTGAAGCAGAATGGAGAGATCCTAGGGTATAAGCTTATGCTATGCATTTTTCTTAAATCACACTCTTTTTAACCAGTTGTAGATGTATGCCATTATCGATCAGTCATAGGTGATGGTTCACTTTCGAGACCCGTGGTGCTAAATGTTCCATGCAATAACTGTTTTGTCTTCCTGATTGGTTCAGTGTCATTATCTCGTCACTTTTCGTGTTCCTTGGGTGATCAACAGGCCAACAAGCAAGCAAGAAATGTTTCTGCTACTGAACCAGGCTCCCTCCCACCAGAGATTACTTTGATTTGCATTTTTTTCGACGTTGCAGTTCATGGATTCTGACTCACCTGCACTCAGAATTTATCTCCATTTCTAAGCTGGATTTGTTAGTTTCAAAAGTTCTTGCACTCCCTTGCCTGACCATACCTGTCACGCATACGTATCGGAGATTTCGCGTTCAATATATCCTCTGGCCCTCTTGAACACTGATGTCTTACTATCCGAGGTTACGTTATTTACAGACAACCATTCCTGCATTATAGATTATGGCATATTATTGCTCCACAGAATACTCAACTGCTACGCCAACCCAAGCCAACAAGCAAAGGAAAGTTCGTATACAGACAAGATTCTATAAGCAGGTCCTCAAAAGCCGACAAGCCTTACAAAATCAAGCCAAAAAACATCAAGACACACAGGACGCCGCAGCTTGAATATACAGTTCAGCGGGAAAGTAACTTGTAGAAACTTTAAAACTAACCTGGTGATTATCTCGATAGCGAATGATATACCCGTGGTCACTGCTGTGTTCTTATAGTGCCAAGGGTTTGTAATTAGTTAACATGACAGCACAAATGATCATGTACATAGGGGTTGTTCACCAAGCTTGTTCGGTCAAGATGGCTGGATATTGGCCAAGATCTTTTTTGCGTGTTTATGGACCTCAATTGCGCCTCTGCCCATGAACACGCAAAAAAGATCGAGGCCGAACAAGTTAACACCATGCTATGGCGGGATAGAGTTGACAAGATCTTGTTCGTTAGGCACAGTGCAGGATTTGGTTTATCTTGCCCGTGCCCAAAGTTAGCCAGATAATTATTGTAAGTAGATAACAATACTCCTTGTTGTTTCATGTTCAGATTAGGCCCCGAAAAATTACCACAACACTTAAATACACGCTTCAAAAGTCTATCAGACGAACCAGTAAAAAATTTATTGTAGGTTTTGTGGGTTCTAATCTAGCATGGGTTTGCCATACTACGTTGACTTTTTAGAGCCTTTCTGGATGATAAATAAAGATATCAGCGACTAATAATCGGTAGGAATCAACAGAACATGTTTGATGTAGAAAAAGGTGAAAAGTTTAAAGGAGCTACGTCACGGTTTGCGCATGTTGAAAAGTTTAGCCTCAATTCTTCAAATTCGTCGTTTGTAATCCGTGTTAATCTTCTTCATCCTTAGCCATCCTTGTTCCTTTATGGTTTATCATTATCTCTTTGGTGTTTTTCTATCATCAAACTATTATTTTCAGGTTTCCTACCATTTAAAGGTAATTTTGTATGTGGCCAAAATAACTCAAAATACCGTGACTGAGCTCCTTTAAAGACGTTCTCAAAAATGGCATCTAGTATAAGCTCTCTAAATGCCCAAAAGAAGGCTTTAAAGTTGCTTAATTACCAATTTTTTGTACACAATGTTAATGTTGTAAACGTGCTCTTATTGTTGATCGCCATTTTGCACCAACAAATGTTTCCCGTTTAACACTGTTTCTGGGAAGTTGGAGTACCATTAGTTCCAAAAACAAGCATTCCATGCTCTTTCCCTCTCCTCCAGAGAATATCTACGAAATCAAGAGCGATATAATTTCTCCCGATAAGAAACCTTCAACTGAATATTTTCTTTGTTTAAAACGCACCTAAGACGTCTTGGGCGGAAAAGATGCCAGTAAATTACATAACGCCAAAATAGCCCCAGATAAACCAAGGAGAAAATTTATTTCTTTTAGGTGTTAACTTAGCTTTTATGCCATTCCATAGAAAGTGCAGACAATCAGAATACAGGAAAGGCGTTGTACACTCAACGGTATGACATCCAACCTTCCCATCATGCGCTCCATTGATCGTATTAACCACTGAATTTTCTATGGCGTGGTATAAAATAGTTCTGCAATGCTACGGTGGAATATCCCACTTGTTTCTTGTATTTTCTCGGTTTACACACGCCTAAAGGCTCGTCTGTACCGAGAAAATACAAGTGACTTGTCGAAAGTGTTGCATAACTAGTATGTAATGTACCATTTCCCATACAGTCACCGGCCCATTTTGAAGGTTTGAGGATTTTATGAAACCTGAGAATCTCCCCACCAATGAGAGTTAATAGTTAATGAAGATAGTGAAAACTCGAGACAAAATCGGATTGTCGCATTTACAAAGCGGCATACAAGATGATATTTTAAATGTAAACCGCCTTTCTAGTCAAATCCCTTCTAAACGGTTAAATCAGACCCAGGAACACAGGTAAATAACAGTGCATTTATTTTGTAATTGAGTATGTCATTGCTGATACAGTTTTCGGGTTCCCTGTGCTTTGGGCGGGCGAGGAGATTTTCATGAACGCATCGAATGGGAGCTTTAAAGCTGCTTACAGGCCCGGCCTGATCAATCGATGAAACTGATAATCGATAACAATCGATTGATTTTCGAAATCGATGAACAAAAATTTTGTTTTTCAATTGCCGTCGATTCTCATTGACTAGCAATTTCATCGACTTCCATATTTTTTGGGCAGGTATATAAAATACGTATCGTATCTGGACTTGCAAAAGAAAGTTACTAACGCAATAAGCGCTACCCCAGTTACTTCTACTCAAACTTAGCCAATATGGCCGATCCACGGAAACCACAACGGAGAAACAATAATAATGAATAATAAATAATGCATTGTTTGAACTTGCTGTAAAATGGTGTTTTGATTTTAAGGAATAAATAGAAAATTCTCACACAAGGTTATCCGCGTAAAAGCAGTTAATGCCCTGGGTTGATATTCTCCGCGATCGCGTATCTCATCTCCTTTGACTGCAAAAGGGCCTAGTAGATGTTCAAAATAACTTTACAGACGTGAATCAAAGTGACGGAACCCAAACCACCTCTTGTTAACGAACAATGCGTTGTTTATGAATACAAATGTGATCTGTGCGACGCAGATTATGTGGGCTATAGATGCCGACACCTATTTCAGCGCATTAATGAGCATAAGCATTCTGCCATTGGTAAACACCTGCGGGACGTACACAATCTGAGGAACAAAGATCTCCGTGACCAATTTACAATCCTCAAGAAATGCCGTGGGAAACTGGCTTGTTTAATTTATGAAATGCTCTTCATCAAAAACCAAAAAACCAACACTTAACGCTCAGTCGGACTCCATTAAAGCAAAACTTTTTATTTGACAATTCAATCACACCACGCTTGGTATTTTTATTTTATTCATCGGTTATTTCTATTTTTTAATCACATGCACTGAGACCTTCACACGTACATTCACTATATAATGAACTCACATAACGTATCTTACTTGAATTTGAGAATGATGGCGTGGAGCCGTCGAAACGTCATTCTTTAATATCGCTGCTTTTTATTCTTAATTGTTTATCGAAAACCTTAGTTATCAGACGGTTATCTCCCGGTTATTTCGGCAGAAGACAAGAAAGTCGCCAGACACCCGAGACACGTTATCACTTACTTAGCTGCGAGCGGAACGCAAACATGAAGATCGCTTACAAATCGACGATACATCGAGCAAAAGTGTATAAAAAATCAATGGCAATCGATAGCAATCGATAGCAGTTAGAGGACTCGAGCTTGTGATTATCGATTGGCCGATAGCAATCGATAACAATTAAATAATTGTCATCGATTGATATCGATTGATCGATTGGATTTCAGATCATCGATTGTCATCGATTAATCAAGCCGGGTTAGAGTCCAAAATTTGAGCCTGTTCTTTTGTTTTTTAATCGGTGATGCCGTGAATAAAATCCCAACTTGCGGTGTTGCGGTGATCTCAAATCCTTCGGTGTGCGATGTTTGTGTTTTTCACGCTACGGCGTTCCGTGGAATGAAGTTATTTGCGGTGCTGTACGGCTTGTTTGATTTTTCTCAGACCTAAATTTAGCATCCAAACTTCGTTAATCCGTGCTAATTTATGTCAAGCACGTACCGTTGTTTTTAACACTATACAGACCAACAATGACTAGTTAAACTTTATTATGCTTCAGCTGCCAATCCGAAGCTATTTTCATTAATACATAACTTGGCAAGTAACTTTACCTCTGCCACGATGCACCCGGAGCTGGACCGAATTTACTATTGACTGCGTAGCTTTTTTAGCATTTTTAAAGGCAATGAAAGGCGTTGTAATGTGTTCATTTCGTGGAAAATTGTTAACGCCGCCCGAGACAATAGAAAGTGAACCAAGGTAAAAGGTCGATTTACCCTGTGATCAACCATGGTTTAGGCGGGGGTTTAGGCGGGGGTTTAGGTCGGTAACAAAGGTTGAGATGACCGATTTGTCAAGTCCACTTGCGGTCGCATGGTATCTCGAACCCCGTGGTGTCCAGATTGCGTCAATCTCATTTGGTCGCATTTTCGACGTTTGTTTTCATGGCATAAAAGTATGCACCCTGCGAGCAGAGCCTCTTTTATCGCTTTTTTTGAGAAAAGGCTCTGCTTGCAGGGTGAAAAGTAAGCCAAATCCGGATCACCTACTCGGACTATATATTCGAACGTACGTCTAGATAGTCTGAAGTTGTCTTTCCACCATTTTGGAACAAAATTTCCGTGCATAGGTAATGGCTTTGTGGGTGCTGAATGTCAACTTTCTCCAAGACGGACTGTCGGGACTGGCCCTCCTCTGAGATAATAAAGCAGTGAACCTAGGCCCAAGAAATACACGTCCGTCAAATAAACTTAGTCACCAAATAGTAATTTGTTGTAACATTCAGCACCTACATAGCCATTACCGTTTTGAAGTATGTTTCACTAAAAAAGCACTTCAAAGTGTCCTTGACGGTTTCAAAATATGTCAAGTGTCCACAGAGGCGTCCGTCTTACTGAAAATTTAGCTACTGTAAAATGATTCTAAAACAGCAGGCACACCCGGTGTCCGTCTTTTAGAGGTGTCCTAAGAGAGATTTGACTGTATCATCTTTGTAGAGTACGCAATTGGCAAGGCCGCACTCACCAATCTCCTCGTGATTTCGAGTCTTTTACGCCAAGCTAAATGTAGCAACATTCAAGACATAGAATCATTTAAAACAAATATTTGCCCGAGAAGCGAAGTGTGAGAGCAAATATGCTAGTTTTAAGAACATCAAATTTCCAAGGGGCAACTATCAGACCGATAGTTCCGAGACATGAACACTCTATTGTCTTTATTGTCACGTTCACCACTAAATTTTCTTCCGTGCGCCAGTTCAAAAATCATATTGAATTATTTTCAACTTTTTTAGATGAAAGCCGTGAAAGCAAAAGGTAAAATTTCAAAAAGAAAACAAACAAAAACCCTCTTAATACAAATTTAATTATTTATTTTCTATAAGCCCGCTTGTTTACAGAAATATTTTCACGGACGAGTACTATCCATCCAGGTATTTTCCTTGGACGGGCACTTTGGGCTGATAGTATCTCTCCGCGGATGAACACTATCGCGTCACGCGATCAATTTAAACTAATAAGAATCGGAGGAAAATTTAGTGGTGAACTGTATTTTAGTATATACCACACAAGTGAATAGTGCTTTTCGCGCGCTCTGATTGGTAATTAGCAAGTACTATTCACCTCCGAGCAGCCGGCGCGAGAGATTTTAAAATTTCCGAGCGCTTGTCACACATAAAACAACGTTTTTGTCCGCTAATTATTCACCTTGCGTGGTATACACTAAAACAATTATTCCCCTCGGTGTCAGTGATGGATATTTCGGTGAATAATTGTTAATTAGTATAAATCTACTGGCGTTCTATCTCAAATGCCGTTCTCTGATTGGCTACGCTACTCACTGTGATAGATAGTGAGTAGCGTAGCAGTGCTCCCTTGTTAACAAAATGAAGGCCGCTTCTTGGCGTTTTCGAAGTGTCTGTGAAGAGGATTTGGATTAAGTTTTGAACGACTAGTAGATTTATACTACAATTAGATTATTCGCTCTCGATTTCTATCGCACGATAGAAATCTCGAGCTCATAATCTAATTGTTTAATAGAAACACGAGTGGAAGTTTGGGAGAACGAGAAATGCTGTGGGATCACGAGCCGTAGGCGAGTGTTTCC